ATGGGCACAGAGAGGTTTAAAAAACTTTCAGGGTGCCTGGGTGGCTCAGTTGGTTAAGCGACTGCCTTCGGCTCAGGTCATGATCCTGGAGTCCCGGGATCGAGTCCCACGTCGGGCTCCCTGCTCAGCAGGGAGTCTGCCTCTCTCTCTGACCCTCTCCCCTCTCATGCTCTCTATCTCATTCTCTCTCTCAAATAAATAAATAAAATCTTAAAAAACAAAAAACAAAAAACAAAAAAAAAACTTTCAAGCACTTGTAAAACACACAGGAAGTGTAAGAAGCTGGTTTTTTATACACTTTAATGACAGCCAGGCTACAGCACTTCCAAGAGGTGAATTCAAATGAATTCCAGATACTGTGTGCTCTCCCTGACACACCCAATATATGGATAAGTAAATTCTTCATGACCGTCTAACTGCTAACAACTTTATTATAGAAACAAAGATATGCAAATGTAGGCTTTATTTGTCATCTGATATGAAACAAGAATGTACAGTGATGTGATGAAGTTGTCCAAGATGTGGATATATTCCTTTTTATAATTTTTTAATAATAGTTGTTCGTATCGTACCCGCAATCTTAAAATAAAAATTGCATAAGCAAATGACAAAGAGGACACATGGTAGAATAAAAAGACATATATCAGACTGCCTTTTCACTTTTTGAAGTTTAAAAGGCAAACTTTATCTATTAAAGCTAATAGATACCAAGGGAGGTAAATTTACCCTTTATCACATTGACAGAAATAGAAACTCAAGTTATTTTAAAAGTTCAAGACCCAGGGGCTCCTGGGTGGCTCAGTCGGTTGAGCGTCACACTCTTGATTTTGGCTCATGGTCTCAAGGCTGTGGGATGGAGCCCCACGTCGGGCTCCAAGCTCTGCACTCAGTGAGTGCAGAGTCTGCTTGTTCCTTTCCCTCCACTGCTCACTCCCCAGCTCTCTAAAATAAATAAATAAAATCTTAAAAAAAAACCGTTCAAGACCCAGTAAAGGACTTTGATCAACAGACAATTTGAAGTGCGGAGGGGAAGGATGACAGCCAGCTCTAGTTTTGGAGTGAGCTTGCACTCTTTCCAGTACCTCTACTTTCTTTAAAGTGATTCAGATGCTGCAAATGATAACTGACACAATAATGTTTTGTGGAGAGTAATAAAGGCACATGTGGGTCTGACAGACAGAGACACCCTCGGCTGGATTACATCTGGCCCACCTAGTGCCACTTTATCTGCTCGTTGTCAGTAGTTACTCATCTATTTTTAAATGTTCCAATATGATCTTATCTAATTGGCACATATAATTTGATCACCTTACTTCCATAACTAAAAGCTGTTGAATGTACCTGGCTAGGTAAAAGTTACAGTTACGGGGCGGGGGGGTGGTTGTACTGGGTTTGAACTTGACAGTGATGACCTTTTATTTTAAAAAGACAATCGTAAGAACCCTCTCTCTCAGGAAAACAGGCTCCCTGGGTTACTGGTTTGTTTGTATGTTTGCTTTGTAAGAGGTGGTCATTGGCCCGGCCGCGGCCCCAAACCGTCACCAGTCTCCCTCATGGTCCACACAAGCGGCCCGTGCTGGGGTTCCGAGGCTGGGAATCCAGCTTTTGGCGGCAGCATCTTGCTACAACCAACTCGGCCCCCTTGGAGGGAGAGATTGCCTTTCCAGCACCTTTCAATTTCAGTACGGGTATACCAGTAACAGAGGCAATCCTTTCAACAAATGGTCTGACGTGGTGACATTTGCAGCAGAGACAAAGGTGAAATCAGCCCCAACCCAGGTGGGAGAAGTGACAAGGAGCAATGACACTGTGCTAGTCGGGATACGGACGGAGCCTGCGGGAGCAGAGGGCAAGGCCAAAGGTGTTGGGGGTGGGGGAGGGGTGTCAGGAAGCCCGCCGGTAAGAAGAGGTAAATCCAGAATTCCAAAGGAACTGAGGCCTCCCAGCGCCCCAGGCAAAGCCTCAGGAGCAGGAGAATGAACTAATCCTGTGATCAGCACTGAGGTAAACATTTAAGAGAACAGAATCTACCCAAAAAGACAAGCTGACCCGGACCCTAGGAATCATGTGAAACCACATGAAAACGGTGGCGAAGGCTGAGCGACCTGACCCGCAGCTGCCTAGAGCCAGGGCACGAGGGTGTCTAAACCCTCCCCCTTGGCCTCACACAGAGTGTCCTCGAGGCCAATTTCAGAGTCCTGCCAAGCCAAATCACACTGGTCCTCCACCTCATCATCGTATCTTCCTGACAAACTGTGTTCCCGTGAGGTTCTACAGAAGGTGGGAGCTGCCAACCTCCGTATCTGCAAACCTATGCAGATCGCTGAGTTTCAGTGATACTTCGATGTGTGTCACCTGGAAGGGCCAGTGTCCAAACTGAGCCCTGCTCACTCTGGGGATTCATTTGGGCTACCAGCACAGTGATCCCCCCAAGAACGGTACAGGGCCGTAAGGGCACCTGTGAGTGCACACTTCTCAGCTCGCCTGAGAACTCAACTACAACCTGAGGCACAGGACACAAAACACAGCCCTCCAGAGATTGAACCAGAAGCTCATCAGGTTAATAACTGACAATTACACAAGGCGACATGATAGCAAATGAGAGAGAAAGTCGGCCAAGGGTTAGGAGTTACCTGATTACGCTGCATAAGGGGAACATCTCCGGTTTAACAAACACTGTACACAGCACGTTTCATTGGAGAGTGTAAAAGTACTCTCTGACCACCACTTCATGAGTCCTGAAAGGGATCTCAGTAAGGGCACCTGTAGCCAGTATTCTGGACCTCCCCGCAGGCAGGGGGAAGGGGGGATCTGAACGCTAGGTGCCCTGATACCAGCCTCAGACCATGCCACAATGATCCGTTCAGGTTCCCCGAAACAGCCAGCCCTTGATTATCCGTGGAAATTTTACACACGGAAAGATTTAATTCACTCAGTATACTGCTGAGTCACTTGGCCTAAATATCAGTCTAACCTGGAACTCAGGGTACCCTGGAACATCTGAAGAGTGGTGGTGATGGTAGTGATAGGAGCAACAGGAACAACCATTAACGTTAACTGACAACCCGAACAGGTGCCAAGCTCTACCCCAAGCATTTTTCGTGCATATTTAATTCTCCCAACAACCCTAGAACGGAGGGAGCGGTAGGACCCTACAGGTAAGGAAGTTAAGGTTCAGACAGGTTAACTAACTTGCCTCGGGGCAAATGCAAGCAGTCTGACTCAGGAACCTATACGCCTCCCCACCAAAAGGAGAGTCTGCTACAAACATCACCTCGTACGTAGGCAGTGGCAATAAAACCCTATCACACGCTCTTAAGTGAAGCCAAATGATCCGGGGACCATCTACTGTAGTAAGTAATATACATCCTTTAATAGGTGTGCACGCACACAAATGCTTTCTGATACACACACATTTTAATCATTCATGTCAGAGGAGAAATAAAGTCAAAAGTTACCAGTCCTATTATTATGACTTTATATTTGTTGTTGGTACGTGACCATCAGCAGACAAAACACCTTTCCGTTTGTATAGCAAATTTCAAAAACAATCAATCACTCAGATGGCCCTGAACAACTCCATGAAGGAATCTGAGGTTAAGTCCGTTTATAGCCAAGAAAACAGGCTCCAAAAAGACAGGGGCTTGCCCCAGACCAGAATCGGCAAGAGCCAGAGCCAGGATTCATGCCTCAGTTTCCAGAGCTGCCTCCATCTTTCCACCAAACCATGACACTTCCATGAGAAAATCCAGCCCGCTGGCCATGTTTTCAAATCTGTGCATATGGTTCAAAGAGTTCCAACATCTGCACCAAGACCCATGGAATCCCACAAAGTGGGACCACTTGTGTATGTTTGTGCAAATGTTTACATTCCCTCCCCCAGGTGGGACCCAGGGTCTCTGAATTCACCTGGCAGGAAGGAGATTCTTAAAATCATGTGCTACTTTAGAGAAGTTTTTGGAGGGAGTAAGGAGAGAAAGGGCTTTTGCTTTGGCAGACATATTCTAAAATGGGCGAGAGAAAGCTAAGCTCCCTAACATTGTGTCACTGGAATCATCCACACACATCTAAGAGTGTGTTTGTTGGCGGAACAAACACAGCCCCAGATCACACTCAACTTCTGGGGTTGGGATCACATGGCCTGTGGGATCTACACACCACACTGAGGACGCGGTTTACATTTCTGATGAGTTATGTTCTTACAAGTACGTATTATGTACACTGTCATCAACCTTTCATTTATTTATTTTTTAACACTGTATTTATCTAACCCCGTGGGGTTCGAACTCATGACCCTGACATCAAGAGTCGCATGCACGCTCTTCCGACTGAGCTGGCCAGGCGCCCTGTCATCCATCTTTTAAGACAACAGAAAGAAATGTTGTGCTTGGGGGGTTTCAACTGTGCAGCCTTTCCCCAAAATGACGACAAAACAGTGCACCTGCTTCGGGGGGGACTTTCTACCCTCATGTGGCAGCCCTGAGGCCAGCTTCCAGCCTGCAGGGCATCCTGGATGGCAAGCTTACTCGGACCCTTTCAGCCGTGCTGCACCCACGTGGGAGCCCCTAGGGGCCACCCCGCTCGCAGACGCTTCACACAGGCAAGGAGAGCGTGTGGGGACGCGGAGTGCTCGGGGTGGCCAGCTCCGCCTCCTGCATTCAGAGGTGGCCCCCCGAGCAAGGTGGGCTCTTCTTTGGGAGCGATCTCCCCTGATTTTGTACCGTCTTCCAGTGATGGGAAAGTAGTTATCAAATGCTGGAAAATGAAGACTATCAGAACCTAGCTGAAACGGGTCTGGGACTCCATTTAGGTATTTTTGGTTTCTTTGGGCGTTTTAACTTAAAGAAAGATCCTTGGATGTTAAAATACCTTCCACAGTGATCCACCCGGTCATCAGTTGCCCTGCTGCTCTCGGGCACTGGCCAGGACTACGCTCACGCATGCGCTATAGGTATTCAGGGCACGTGCTGGTCCTCCGCATCCTACATTCTGTCTCTCAGGATGCTGGATGTACTCATCCGCCCCAGAGCCCCTCACGCTGTTCCCGGTCCCAGGAGACAGACGTGCAAACACACGGACAGGCTCCCCTGCCTACTGACTTCCGATCTGGCCCCACCAAGAGGCGGCACAAGTAAGGTAAGTGAAGGGTGGAAGGAGGATGAGGGCAGGATTTACTCCCCTGGCCCCTAAGGCCACATCCCTACGGAGGGGCCCATAACCCCAGCTCCTTTCTCCTCCAGGTCCAGGCACTTGCCCCTTTCCTTCCCGCCTTCAGAACTAGGGGGGAGGAAAGTTCCCGGGTGGAGGTAGCCATCGCCCCGCCCCCCGGGGGGGGTGTTGCCATGCATCCTCCTAACTGGTTCCTCATACATCCCTGTCCAGTGCTGCCAAACCAGCCCTTTATTAAATGCTCCTCAGTTACTTCGGTCAGAGTGTGCCAAGTGTCTCCTGCCAGGACGATGACTGGCAAAATGAAAACCAAAATCGATCACCCTAGAATTTCACTCTTGGAATCTACATGCCACAATATGCCGAAATCATAGAGGATGGGGGGGGGCTGGGGGGGGGCACCAACACTTCCCTGATAATTTACTATACTGTTTACCTTGAGAGACCAGAATTCATCTTCCTAAAAGTGGAATAAGCTTTCAAACATGAAAAGTCGATCACGGCATTCAAAAAGTACGTTGTTACTGAAAATATTCTCCGTAGACTTCCTTTAAAAGCGCACTGTCAGTGATGACTATTATGTTCCAGTCACTTTAACTGTGCATCAAAATTGCAAATAGGACAACAGCGTCAGTAAAGTTTCCAGTTTTAGAACAGCCGAGTGAAACTACATCTTATCTAAGACACTTCGGAGTACACAGTAACTACATTCAATTACTATAACAGTAACACAGAATCAAAATTTCTAAGAATTTAAGACCTAACATCATGAAGACTATCAGTGTTTTGTACCAGGTCAAGATGACCTACAGGAAATTAAAACATAAACTGAAGTTTCAAATTTAAAAACTATGAGCTGTCTCATGGGGCAGAGGAGAGGGATGGCCAACAAACCTACAAGATGCAAGAAATAAAAAAAAAAAAAACCACTGCTAACAAGCACTGACATTCTTTAATCACTGAGGAATCATCATTATCCACAATGTTAAAAACAAAATAGAAAAGGGATTTTAACAAATTAAATATAAATCATGTGTTACCCATACCTATTTTTTAAAACACTGAAGTGTGTTTCACCCAGGGCTCTGTGAGGAACAAGTCTATATGACTTCACCTCAAGCCAAATAATCATGTGAAAGCTCATCATGGTTTTACCAGAGATCTGGGTTCCAACAGCAGGGTGTTAGTTTGCTTTCCCAGGGCTCAGCCTGTTGCTACAGGTCCTAGAGTTACAGCACTTTAGAAATTTTGCAACAAGTATGAAGGGAGGGAGCACATAAACAATGTCTTTTTCGTGGGAAACCAGGAAGAGATTCAGGTACAAAAGCCCCAGGCTTCTCCTTGTAGCTTTCTTTCCTACACAGCACACAGCAAAGGTACAAGTTTACACTTATTTGTGAGATTATCTGATTAATATCTACCTCCCCTTGCTCATATGTAAACTCTATGAAGGTAGGGGCTATTCCCTTCTTTGCTCATGACCTCTTGCTAACAAAGGTACGCCATACCTTCGATGGTACGATGGAGAGTAAGAAGTTTAAGACTTTGCTAAATATATTTTTTCATAGAATGTTGACTCTAGAACTAAGAAATGTTTTACTATTCAAAAGAAAAATCCAATCAAAAGGAGAACAATACAAATAAAAATCACGAGATATGACAATATGCCCCCTGGAATGGCTAAAATGAAAAACACTGACAATACTAAGCGCTGGTCCAGATGTGAAGCTACAGACTTGTGGGGACGGGTGTAACCTAGCACAACCACTTTAGAGAACAGTCCAGCATTTTCGTATAAAATTACATATACGCTTATCACAGGAGTCTACGATCCCACACCTAGATATTTATTTACCCAAGAGAAATGAATTCATATATCCACACAAAGACTTGTACAAGAATGTTCAAAGCGGCTTTATTCATAACACCTAAAAACTGCAAAGTATCCAAAATCCACCAGCCACTGACTGGATAAACAAATCATATCTCCATAAAATGGAACACTACTCAGCAAAAAAAAGGAATGAATTATTGATACAAACAACATTTAGGATTCTCAAAAACATTATGCTGAGTGAAAGAAGTCAGAAATAAAAGTATACTCGTCTGTGATTTCACTACTAGGAAATTCTAGAAAAGGTGAAACTGAGAAAGTACATCAGTGGTTGTTTGAGGATTCGGGTGGAGGGCGAGAAGACTGACTCAAAAGGGGCACAGGGAAACTGTAGTGATGAAGATGTCCCGGTGGTCACTCCAGCAGCTGTTCACAAAGATGTATACATACTAGCATATACTTTCAGTGGGGGCAGTTTATTATAAATTAAATTGTGCCTCAATAAAGTTGACTTCTTAGAAAAGAGCATGTAAGTTTAAATTTTTTTTAAAAAAGCAAAAGAAAGGGGTTCCTGGGTGGTTCAGTGGGCTAAGCTTCTGCCTTTGGCTCAGGTCATGATCACCAGGAGTCAGGCTCCCTGCTAGCGGGGAGTCTGCTTCTCCCTCTGCCCCTCCCCCCACTCCTGCTCCCTCCCTCTCTCTC